TGTCATCCAGACATTCACTTCCTCAAGCAGTCACCCATTCGTTCACTGATTGTATTCATTCATCCTGTCAGTCATTTATCATGGACGCCAATGAAGCCTGTCCTCTGGGTCAGGATGTCCAGGGAACCAGAACACAATCAAAAGCACACCGGGCGAGACCAACACACAGCACTTAGTGTATAACTAGGTACGGGGACACAGTACTAACGGGAGGTCAGTGCTGTAGGAGCCCGGAGGCGGTAGCAATTGGTTCAGGTCTAGGGTGGATTTTATGGAAAAGTGATCTTGAAGGTTTGAGAAAGGAGAAGAAATGCTGCCCAACGACTTGACTTGCCTTTCAGCTTTGTTGGGTGTGTGCAGGCTCTCAGGGGCCGGCCTTTTTGTTTTATCATTTTCACTTGGCTTTCTACAGGAGTCTTGCTCCTTTGGTCCTGCCCCTTCAAAGCTGCCTCTCAGGGGCTGCTTGAGGATCTTTCTTCTTCTTTTTTTTTTTTTTATTAAGAAATTTTCTTTTTTTAAAAAAATATTTTTATTAATTTCAGAGAGGAAGGGAGAGGGATAGATGTGCCCTTGACCGGAATTGAAGCCGGGACCCTTCAGTCCGCAGGCAGATTCTCTATCCACTGAGCCAAACCGGTTAGGGCTTGAGGATCTTTCTAAATGACTTCCTGTTGCCTAAAACTAAGCCCAAGTTCTTTAGCCTGGCAGCAAGCTTCCTCTCACCAGGCCCTGTCTTCTTCCAGGCTCTTTCTCTATTGCTCCCCTGTGCAACCTTTGTTTCAATCCTGTTAAAGTATGCAAATGCCATGGCCTCTGCCTCAGTGTGTTTGCTTATACTGTTCCTTCTGCCTATAATAGTCTTTCTCCTCTAGAAAGTCTTCTTACACAACACATTGCAGTTAGCAACGTCCTTTCTATGCTTCCATTGTACTTTATATATCATCTCAATGGCGGCACTTACCACTTTGTACTGAAGTTATCTGCCAACCTTTTACAGGGAGGGATTCTATCTGCATGATTTCTGTAATCCATGTTCCCCAGGCTGGGCACCTGATAAAGGTCTGATGGATATTTGACTAAATAAATGAGTGGAAGAAAGAGGATTCTGTTGAGATAAAGGGATAGATTTTAATTTAATTAAGTTTGAGGCATCAACAGACCAATCAGCCCTATCTTGCTTTTATTTACTCGATGTATCATGTCTATGAGATCTGGAGTAAAGAGGGAGGAAGAAGAGGAGGCAAAATGGATTGGAGTAGGTTTGCCTTTTTGGCTCTGGAAACTGAATGATTGATTTCAGTGCCCAATATGATAATAAAGTTAGCTGTTAAAACACCAGCCATCCCTGAACTGAACAAATCTAACTCCCTGTTGTTCATCTATCAAATTCGTAATCATCCTTTAAGACATCTGTGAAGGCCTGGTGGAGTGAGCTAGTTTGTTAACCCTCAACCGTGATCCTTCTTCTATCATTGCATGTATTTTGTATTTGGCCACCTTAGAAACCATGCTCTTTAAATTTGGATACAATTTTCTGTAGGGGATATGTAGCACTGCATAAGTTTATTCCAAGTGATTAAAATATTTTTATGTTGCAACAAATACAGCCTTATTGTGGAATAAGATCTAAAATAATACAAGAATTTTCAGAATGAAATAGGACATATAGAAATGATAGGTAGCGTATGTTGAACACTAGATCTAAGGCACTGTGTTAAACACTTTATATGCATTACCTTGAATATTTTGCCGACAGCTGGCTACTTCAGTTCTCTGCCATGTCCCCCGCGGTGAGAATTCCAGCTCTCCTAGTGTTTGTAGCACGTAGTGGAAAAGTTTGGGAAGGGTTGTTTACTCGAGGCCTGCATTTTCAGTGCCCAATAATCAGCCTGTTGCAGTCGAACCTCAGTAAAGGCTGTAGAAAAATGGGTCCTGTTCTCTCTGCTAGAATATTCTTTTCTACCTACCTGCCTGGTGAATTTTTATTGGTCCTTCAATACCCCGCTTAAATGTTCCTTCAACTGTGAAATCTGTTTTCTTTGGCTCCCACAGCCCCTGAAATTCCCTTAGACCCAGCAACTGGATTATCACTCTTTGTTTACTGTTGGTGTTTACCACTGGGCTCCTCTAGAAGGAAGGCAGTCCTCTGGGGATGAGTCCAAGTCTGATTTTGCTGCACCGAGCAAAGGGCTTGACACAGGGAAGCCTGCAGTGAACATTTGTTGAATGAATGAAGTAGTAAAGTTGGCTAATATTCAGAGCTGACCCCAAAAGAAGAAGTGATTCTGTGTTCATTTATCACGGAAGCCAATGAAGGAGCCCGGCCCATTTCCTTAACTTCTGTAGTGGGTTGAATGATGCCCCCTTCCCACTCTGCCCAAATGAGTCCACACTCTAAACCCTGCATCCTGAGAACATCACCTTATTTGGAAAAAGGATCTTTGCAATTAAGGATCTCAAAATGAGATCAGGGTTATCTGGGTGGACCCTACATTCAGACAAGTGTTGTTTTAAGAAAAAGAAGACACAGGAAGGAGAGAAAGCATGTGAAGGTAAAGGTAGATTGGAGTTATGCAACCACAGGCCAAGGACTACGTGGAGCCACCAGAAAGAGCAAGGAAGGATTCTCCCTTAGAGCCTTCTAAGAATGTGCAGCCCTGCTGACACCTTTGTTTGGGGTTTCTGACCTCAAGAACGGTGAAAGAATAAAGTTATGTTGTTTTAGGCCATCCAGTTTGTGAATTTTTTTAAAAAAAATATTTTATTGATTTTTTACAGAGAGGAAGGGAGAGGGATAGAGAGTTAGAAACATTGATGAGAGAGAAACATTGATCAGCTGCCTCTTGCACAACTCCTAATGGGGATGTGCCTGCAACCAAGGTATATACATGCCCTTGACTGGAATCGAACCTGGGACCCTTCAGTCCGCAGGCTGACGCTCTATCCACTGAGCCAAACTGGTTAGGGCTAGTTTGTGAAATTTGATATAGCAGCCTCAGGAAACTGATAGAGCTTGGAAACAGAAAGATGTTTTCTGTGAAATTCCACCAGATCATGGCACTATATGAGTTGAGCCAGATGAGATTTGGGATTTCTTAGCTACTCCCTTCTCAACAAACACCTGTACACCCTAGGCTCTAGCCATGAGGAACCACTCAGAATAGGAGACAGTATGCCATTCATGTTAGTCAGCTCTGGGGTCAGATCCAAAGTATCTTTAGACTTCTGAGCACCCTGGAAAGATAGTATGCTTACCTTTTATTACAATATCTTTAGTGCAACTATATGTGAGGTCTTGAACTAGGCAATTTATATGTGTTGACTTAATCCCTACAGCCATCCTATTACTATTTATAGATGGGAAAACTAAAGCTAAGAGAGAGGAACTGGCTTGCCTAGGACACATATTTAGAAGGTGGCAGAGCCAAGATTCCAGAAGTGCTTGATTCCTGTTGTTTTTGACTTTAAAACACTGAGTTCTTTGAGCTACCATCAGTCGAAGTGAAGAAATTCACAGTGGGGTGAGGGTGGGGGCTTGGCGGCGGGGCGGGGGGGATGTTAAAGGCAGATCAATATCCTAAAGAACGATTCAATGCTATTTATTATAGACACAATTGCTATAGACACTGTCACTATGATCCAGGATTCTTCATGGAAGAGGTGGCATTGAGGGGGGCTTCACTTCAACACTGGGGATCCAGAGATAAACGACAAAGTTCTTTTTCTTGAGGAATTCAGTATGTATGTGTACGTCTACATGTGTGTATTGCACATATTAAAAGACAATGCAACAGAATAATCAGGAATATGGTGGGGACAAGATTCCTAATCAGGCCCCAGAATGAATCAGAGAAGCCTTTTGGAGGAAGGGATTCCAGCTCCAGATGAGATTTGATGGATGAGCGTTAGGAGAAAAGTAGCAAGGGCTTTCTAGGGACAGCATAAGCAACCTCCTCACAGAGACGACACAGAGACCTGGGTGCCTGGCATGCCCCGTAGCTCAGGACAGCAGTTAGTGGCGAGCGAGGAGGGGCATGGCCTGTGGGTTAGAGTTGGTCTTGGAAGAGCTGGTGGGACTACCCGACAGGTTTCTGGTCTTAATGCATCCTGCGTGGCGCCTTTATGCCAAACCATAAGCCGTTCCTTTTCAGCCCCCGCACGTGGACGGCAGCACTTCAGGAAAAGAATGTTTAGGGAGCCTGCAACTAAGTGCAGACCAGCCGGCAGGGAAGGTCTGCAACGGACCCGATCCAGCCGGCCGGGAGGCTCCCCGCTCTCTTCAGGAGGCTGGTTACTATGGCAACTAGGTTAGGGCGGAAGTGGCTCGGAAGACTGACTCTCACTAATCAGGTGACTCGCTTGCCTCCTGCACGTGACACCGGAGCCCAGGCGCACTCTGTACCTAATCAGACCCGCCCTCTTCCTTTACCGACAACTGACAACGACCTAGAGCAATGGCCTTTGCGGGTCCAACAGGAGACCCCGCCCTGTGGCTGTGAATAAACCAATTAGACTTGGGAAAAAAGAAGCACCGCCCCAGCTCTCACCCGGGTTTGACAGACGCATTTGAGGCCATCCTCGGGTCCCTCCGCCTCATTCCATTCCGGCCGGCGAAGGACAGACCTGTTACCCAATAGCGCGTCTCCTCTCTGTGGTTGGGTCCCGCCCCTATAGGAGCTGAACCAATGAGCACGCCAGGTCTCGGCAGGACGGTGGGGGTTGCACTGCGGTAATATGGCTCTTCCTTAGGCAGCGGCAGCGGCGTCGGCGGCGCGAGGTGGGGTAGAGCAGTCCTGCCCCTCCGGTGGCGGGTGTTTGGGCTGCAGCGGCTCTGCGGGTCGTGGCTGAGCGGTGGCAGGATGCCGGAG